GTGTGTGTGTGTGTGTGTGTGTGTGTGTGTACTGCTGACCCTAGCTAACAGTTTGTTACATGCAAATTTACTTTTGAGCTTGCAGTACAGGTTGCTCCAGGCTCTTGTTTGCTGACGAACCTTCTGTAGAACAAGAACAAGCCCACTCTGTATCCCATTCAGAAAACAAAGTTGCCTCCTGTTTGCCTCTAATTAACTGGTATAATACCTAGCTTGTTGGATTGGTTAGTGTTTTTTACAGGGCTCGTTAACCAATGGCCTTTCACAGTTTACACTTCCTCTGTAGCCGTTGCCAAAGGGAAATGTGCACTGTAGCTCAGGTCACAATTCTCCAGGGTGTCTGGCTCTGGGAAGGGACTGAATTGAACCAATAATAGTAGAAAATTGTCTCCTTTTTTACAGTTCAGTAGAGCTAACATAGAACATGCACTCCTCAGTCTCATGTCTGCAATGAATAAATAACACTGATTTAAACCAAAGGCATTCATGTCCAGCTTTTGCTATTTTTTGGCTTCAGTGTCTGGGTATTAATTTTTATCTTTGCTGCCGGATAACCTTCATTTAGTTGGTGGTTTCCAGAAATAACTCCTGGGTTTTTGGCAAGAGCTAAGGTTGAAGCTCACACGAAACAGAATTTTTGCTGTCTCATTTGAGGTCATGACACAGCCACCGAAAATCGCACATGTATTTCTTTTTTCTTTTTTTTTTTTTTTTTTTTTTTTTTTTTTTTATAATCGGGAGCAAAAGCTGAGCAACTGCAGGGTCTGGCAACTGCAGGGTCTGGCAACCACAGTGTCGCTGAAGCTGAGATTTTCTCTGGGGTTGTCTACAGAGTCAGCGTCCTGTGGGTTGACAGCCAGGGCCCTGTGACACACGCTCATGCCCATAAACAGGGATTTGGCCCTCCGGAGAAAATAACCTTGATAATTACTGGGTGCATATGGACCTGCCCACAGCAGGAGGGGGGGAGGGGGAGGAGGAGCGGGATGAGGAGGAGGAGGAGGAGACGGGGGTTGACTGAGAAGGAGAAAGAGAGGGAGAGAGAGCCACATCCGCTGGTGCATTCCTCCATGCTGTGTCATACTGGTGCCGAGTTTCCCCTCAGTTTGCATGGAGATTTCCACAAGGCGGAGGGTGCAAAGGGCTACTGACGCAATGCTCGGGGCTGTAGACACTGACATTAAAGGTTTAACAAGCCACGCATTCACAGACTCCCTACGGTAACAAAAAGACAGCAAAACTGTTTAAAGAGCAAACATAAGGGGACTGCTAGACAATGGTGAAAAAATCGGAGACACATGGAGGTGGGACACAGTGAAGAGAAGAAAAGACCCAGCCTGGTGACCTAACTGTGGATGCGCTCATAGATTTTCGACTCTCCTCTCCCACTCTCTTTCTGCCCTCATCACGTGGGCCCTCTGGTCTGGCTGAATTGGCATCATTACAGCAGCCAGGGCTGAATGTCTGTGGTTGGCTCACCGCCCGTCTGCTTGCCTGTCATTCAGCTGGTTAAAGAGGCCTTGTTGAACCGCTGCACTGTGCCCGGCTACTACAGGGCCATTCATGCCTGTAACGGCAGAAACAGCCAAGTCCTGTCATCAGCGCCAGCTAGCACATACCAATTTACTACTGGAAATGACAAGGTCATTTTGCTTGCTAAGCACAGTTTCCCCCCCGAGTAACCTCGTAACCCGTTTTTTTTTTTTTTTTTCAAAGTTTGGATTACAGTTCAGAGAATGAGCTCCTCTCTAACGGAGCAAGTGTCTTTAGACAAACACAGCGCTTACGTCTCAAATATGTTCTCTGTCTCTGTTGCATGTACGCCGCCTACATCGAGTGCAAAGTGAAATAGACTGATCTTTTCCCCAAGGAATTATACAACAACAGCACAAAACAACAAAACAGATCCTTTGTGCTGCCTCAAACATCGGAGATTTCAAAAAGAAGCCTTGAAAATACAGTTTGTCACTCTGAGGGAGTTTTTTTTCTCCCCCCCTCCTGCTTGTCAGTTGCTCTGTGTGCCTTCGGCTAATGGCAGCTCATCCTGTCACAGATGACCTGTGCTTTAGTGAACCATTCTCCGTCCTCTTCTCAGTCCCAGTGTGACACACACAGTGAGGACATGCATGAGAGCCATGACTTCATTCTGTGCTCTCCGTCATTCCTCTAACTCTATTTTGCCTCCTCCCTCCTGCTCTCATCCTTGACTCCTCCACTTTTCTCTCCCTCTATCTTATCCTCCCTTCCCTCTCTTGTCCCTTTTGTCTTCCTTCCCTACCCCTCGCTCTGTGTCTGCAGTCCTAACATCTTCCTGCTATGATTAGCAGTAGTGTTTTTTCCCCAGCCAGTGTAATGTCTAGAGCCTCCTGTGTCCTTGGAAAGCAGCCTAATAAGCTCAGACACACACTGCTGTCTCTGCGCTCCACAGGCCTATTCTCCAGTGTCACCCAGCGCACACTGAGGTAAACAAAGACTGCCACACACACGTACACACACTATCCTAGTGTGCTAATAGACCAGCATACCAGCCCACTGAGGACAGCGTTGACGCTAGCTTGCTAACGTTGACCTTCCGTGTGCCAATCACAATAAACCTGCTCCCTGATTTGAATATGGGGAGGAAAACAGTGTAAATTGAAAGCAGAAATCCCCCTGGTGTGAGACAAGATGAGTCTCTGAATAAATTATTCAGATGGCAGCCTCTCTCCTGCATGATTCTCGCCTTCTGCTACGTTTAATGGCATCTGTGATGACACCCATTGGAGATTAATCCAGATGTAAGACGTGTGTGTGTGTGTGTGTGTGTGTGTGTGTGTGTGTGTGCGTGCGCGTGCATGCGTGCTTACATTCATATGTGTGTTTCTGTCTCGCTCTGTGTGTGTGTGGCCTGCTCACCCCTCTTCTCATGCATCCCATTGTGTTGTGTGATGGGGAAACAAAGCCTCAACAGGGGAATTTATTTCTTCTCCGGAGAGGGCTGTAAATAAACAACTAGTGAATCAATGCCTCCATTTGTTTTTTCTCTGATAATTCTGTCTGTGTCGTGAGGCAGTGTGACAGTGTTTTGCAAGGCGGCATAGCTCACAGCAGCCATATTTCCTCTCGGTGAGAGTGAGAAAACACGCCACACCGGCCTCATGTTTCATTACCAGGTATCAGTAAATTACTGCATGCTTTTTTTTTTATATCACTCACCGCAGCTCATTTAGTGCCATGATGGAGCCTTTGTATGAGTGGGAAATAACACCGGCATTAGATATTGTGCTTTAGAACTACTCAGTCAACTAAAGACACACAAGCATAGGAATTATCAGGTGCAATTGAAAAGGAAAACCGGCAGCAGGTCTTGTGGTGAATGTTTCAGTCTATTAGAGCAACATTGATTCACTACAAAAGCATGACCTTCCCTGACACAAGTGCTTACAAATGTTTGAATATAAGATATTCTCCTGTGTCTGGGCATACAGTTTGCAGTATTTTTTTATCAAGTATCCTTGGATCATCATAAATGTGTAAAGGAAAAAAAAAAAGTGTGTTTAAGCCATTTTCTCATCAGGGATGATAGACTATTTAAAAGCTGTGAAAGCCTCAGTTGGACAATAAAACACATCTTCTCACTTACCTTTAGTTGATTCTAGTCATGCAGATATCCTGTTTTGAAACAGTGATTCTGTTACTGGATTATACAACAAACCTGATTTTTTTTTTTTGTGTGTGTGTGTGTGTGTGTGTGTGTGTGTGTGTGTGTGTTGTGAACCACGACAAACAAAATTTCTTTCACCTCTACTGTATAAGGATGGGAGCAGAAATCTCAGAGACGAACATCTGCAAACCGTCTCCGAATAAAACCAAAACCATCTCGGTTGCCAGGTACCATTAAATGAATTTTTTTGGGTGGGGTGAATTGACCCTTTTAAACTGGAGGAATATACTATTATTTTTCCTAATTGCAGTTTTGTGGTCGTCAGTAACAGTAATGAGCAGAGCATAGGTCCCAGAAAATATGAGGGGAGTTACTTGTATTAGCTACGGTTCGATGACTAATAGGAGCAGTGAATAATGGTGTGAGCAGAACGATCCCAGTTCTTTAGGAACAAAGGTAACCTCCGAGTGTGTAAACCTTGATTAGGAGCAATCATTCAGTTAATGCTGCTGTTGGTAATGCCAACATGACTACACATAAGAGACTCTAATGAGCACTGGTTTACCGTGGTTTTTTTGTGCTCAAATACCCCTCTCTGTATCCCATATCCAAGTGTGAAATTACAATATCAGATCATATTTAGTTAATTAAACCCATATGACTAATTTAATTTGACTCAAATATGGGGGGAAATGAATAAATCATGGAGGCGTATTTAGCTTGCTAGCGCTGGTGTTAACAGTAATTAAATGTGGGGCAATCTGTAGCCTGTGAAGATAGCTCAAGTCTTTTCTTTCCGCCTACTGTACGAGTACACATGTGGAAAAAATGTGAGCCAGACAGTTTTTTTTTTTTTGGGATCAGTCTAGCAGAATATTAATGGAATGATGTGGGAGTTTCAAACACAGGAATAAGTGAGTTAAAGATGCAGCCCTGTAAAGTAGGCAAGTGCATTAATAGTCCACGAGTGGTCGTCCCATTAGGAGATCTGCACATCGTAGTTAGAGAGGAGCCAGGAGCAGAGAAGAAATATTCCTCCATGATTAGAGCCTGGAGAGTTCAAAGACAGCTGCCTCTGCAATGAGATGGGCGCAAAACACTCACACGGAAGACGAGAAATCAACTTGTATTTGTCATTTAAGCATTTCATATTTCATATTTGGCGGGGATTAGAGATGCACATTCTCTCCAGCTCTGTCAGTCCTTGTTATGTGTTTCCAATCTGTCAGATGCACGACAGGGTGCTTTATTACATCTCGATAAATGATGCCACCTAAGTCTTGTTTTCCTATCACTAAAAAGCAGAGTTTTGTCACACTCCCTGATGTGTGTTGCATTCTGTTTTGTTTCATTTTAGACGCGCTCTGTGATTGATGAGGATTAAGAGACAGATTTTGCCTAATAGGAAACACAACAACGTCCTCCTCATCCACACCGGTAAGAATCCTGATTCATCACCTATGTCCTCAGTTGAGTATCAGCTCGCACGGTGATGCAGATATGCTTCATTGTGGTTTTGCAAACAAGATAAAATGGCTGCAGTTTGGATTTAGTTTATTTGTTGAATCACAGCAGTCACTGAACACACAGGCATTTTGTCCTAGAACATAATGTACTTCTGAGCATTTTATATAGTAACTGAGGCTGAAGTGCTAAAGCACTACATCCTTTTAGTTTCCCGTGAAAGTGATACAACACGGTCTTACTGTAACGCTTACAATACTGAACCACATACATGTCAGTGAATGAACATCCTGAATCAATCGCTGCGAGAGGTTCGCTGCCATTGCTTTGAGTGAACGCATTTGTTTATGTGATGATTTGCATGATTGGAATTGGGATTTTGCGGGTGATGGCATTTCCTCTTTAGATAGCAGACAGCTGGTGTTTGTCAGGTAACCGGGCAGTCAGTCTTCAGAGCCCACACAAGTTGCAATGCCAAGTCATTCTGTGCTTCACTGTATCACTGTTCTTCCTCTGATGTGGTCGATTTAGAAAAAGCCCATTTGAGGGATGTTTACGAGACTGCCTTCTCGCACGCATGCTACAGTGATGATACCTCTCTGGCTCTGCTTTGAGCTGTTCCTAGGGTGTGAAACCTGGACAGCAGTGTAAGCAGTGTTGAACCTATGGTTAGTAACCGTGTATGGCCATTGATCTGCCTCTATCAATACCAATGTCAATCTCCAAGAGGAGGACAACTGCTAATCCCCATATCCCCATCCTCCAGTCATTTGCTTTCTTCTGACTCCGTTGGATGCAAAAACATGCTTGCACACTGGTTCAATTAGCCTTTGAACAGCATGAATATTATGTATTCAGTTATCCCTTGAACTGCATGAATATTAAGTGTTCATTTAACTGAGAAGAAACACTCCATCGTCATCATCGCGGTGTCAGAAACCTTTGACTGACGTGATGCATGATGTAATTGGGGTGAATGAGGATGTGAGGAAACATCAGACATCCCGTTATGGCCCTGACACATTTGAGTAAAAGGAGAGCCTGTCCCTCTGCTTTTGTTTGGGAGGCTGTGCAAAATGTCGACACTGTAGTTTGTATACATGCGAAACAGCATCAAAGTGCTGGAAGGTGAATAATTTTTGGTGGCATCTGCACAATCTGCAATATGCTAATGAGCAAAGCTGCAAAAGCCAGATTGCCAGGAGAGAGAAGGGGAGATGGAGAGAGAGAAAACAGGGAGGGAGCAGAGTGGAAAAGAGAGAAACAGACGGAGGCTGGTGTAAATTATGGATGCAACCTGCGATTTCCAAGAGGAAAAGAAAGGCAGGGAGAAACCTCAAGCCATGCATATCAGATTACGCATTTACCACATTTTCTTATCATGGTCCGTGAGCAAACTCGTATACAATCTGGCCCCTGTGTGTGTGTGTGTGTGTGTGTGTGTGTGTGTGTGTGAGAGAGAGAGAGAGAGAGAGTGAGAGAGCACTTACACATTCATCCATGTCGAGTTGTGTGGAGCTGTGCTGTGCTTTCAAGCGTTCTCTGAACTTGATATGACGTGTGTCTAAGGCTGTGTTGACTTTCGCCGCACTATTGTGTTGCGTTGCTCTGTATTGTGCGTCTGCAGTCACATGGCCCCTGATAGTTCACACATAGCATTTCAGCGTTGAGCATGCACATGGACACGGTGGCAAATCAGTTCTGTTAGGAGCTGTTTGAATTTACACCACTCAAATCACACTGTAGATATTATATGACATTGTTTAACTTGTCTAATAATACATGGAATGCTGAGTTCACCTGTTTTCTTTTGTTTAAAAAAAAAGCTTATCTCTCATTATGTATTTTGCCTGCTTGAGCAATTCTAAGTAAAGTGAAGCAAAAGTGAGTGTTCGTGTCCCACTACCACATCCAACCCTTGTGTGCCAGTCCCCTAACAGCCTGTGTGAATAATGGATCCATTCTTTAGTCATGTCTGTGACTGGGGCCTGCGCAGATGTGTGGTTTCCCCCACCAGAGGTGGAGGTGGAGGAGAAGGGAGGGGCTGGTGGTCTGGAAATAGCTCCGCCTGAGCTGGGAGCACCTTAGGTGGGCCTCTGTGCCAGCCTCACCTTCCTTTAACATGCTTGCACGATAAAAGTGCAATTCTGCTGGAGAACCTGGCGCATTATCGTGTGTCTATTTTCGAGTTAAGTTGAAAGGAAATATTGTTTAACCTGTCTCCATTCAGCTTTGCTGCCAGAGTGATTCCCTTCAAAGATGGCAGGAGAATGAGAGAAGGGTTGCGTTTTCTAAGAATTGGACAGGAGCCACGTTACACTTCAAGCAAAAAGCGTCTGAGCTGGGAACAGAAAGTATGAAGCTGCCCTGGATCTAGCCTGCATGTAAATGTGTGTTAATGTGCAAAGTAGGTCATTTATTTGGAGCAGGGACAGCCATAGTGTGCCTCTCTGGAGCAGTGTCAGAGTGGGGAATCATTTCATAAGCAGACACATTGCTGGATTTGATGAACTGCACTAGGGATTTACATTTACAGACATTTTGTTTATATGTAAAGCCCAAACCCTAATATACCAGAGGGGAAGGAGGTGGGGGGTGCTGAAGGTGAAAATGGCTGTGGTCAATCCAAAGACAGCATCAGTAACCATAACCAGAGATAGCAGCCTAAAAATCAGACTAAATCAGATTACCAAACAAACAGCTAAGAGGATTAATTCTGATCTCTCTCTCTCTTTTTTTCCATCAGACGGACATTAAATCTGCAATCTGTAAAATCCCTTCAAATGATTTTCTATTTTACTTTGCGGCCCTCATTTTCTGGTCACATGTTTGGAGTGAAGCTCTTTCTGCTCTCAGTGAACTCTGCCCTTTTGTTCTGCCTTGAGGCCTCTAGAAATTGCTTTACTAAACACGGTATCATATCGGTCTTTAAAAATATCTTCCCGGGGTACAACACGAATCTGACCTCCAATCAGATGCTGCACTGCTGGCTGTTAAGCCCCATAATGTTATAATAACGCGTTCCACCCGGCACACTTGCTGTTAGGAGCAGAGCTGTGTTGAGAGATGCCTGTGGCTCTGTGGCCGTCTCTTTAACAACGGACAGGCACGGACCTAATTAATAGAAAACATGATATATGGAGGGGGATAATTACACCTTGTCCCTGGCTCTCAGAGATCAAAAATGTTGCTGCATTTCTCAGAATTAATCTCAGGAATGATTGTTGGTTTACAGGGAATCAGTGGCGGTACAGTATGTTCTCTGGAAAAAAAGACTGTAGATTAATTTGGTTAATATTTCATAAAGCTTACAAAGGCAGAGGGCATTTGAGGCTTTTCAGATTATTTGTTCTCAGCCAATATTACACACCACGATTGAGCTGCTGCGCCACTGTGCTGCAAAGTCAACAGCTCGCGTGCACAATGCCAAGACAAGGCACTTGCCGTTGAAAGTGTTTGTCCGTGATAGCGTTGTTTGTGAAATGGGAGCCGTTCAGATGCACTGCTCCTTTTCCTTTGCCGTGATCTGATTCAAAGGGGGCCAGTGCACGCACAGCATCATATCGCTCTCTTAGAGTGCTGATAACTGCTAACAGATTTGTATTAATATCCTCGCTGGTGCTCTTTGATATCAGCTGATTCATTTTGAATCTCCGCTCGCCTACCCACGCACACCTCAACTAAACACAAAAGTGCAATACAGCATTGCTCTTGACAGCTTGACAAACTGACAATCCCACTCACAATCACTCCCTCTCCCGCCCTCCCTCTTGCTCTCTCTGATAGAGCCATATATTGTAACCAACAAGACTGTAATCAACGCAAACCTAATCAAATCATTGCTCCAACAAGCAGCCCTGGCTGCCGGGCTTCCAAGGAACATATCTCAGATCAAGAGGCAGGCTGCTTGTACAGCAGTGTGTACTGTAACCAGCCGCTGTATGAAATGTCAGGAGAAGTAGGATTATTTTCGAAAATGTCACTGACAGCATAATAGCTCAGTGGAAGAGTGTCTCATGCTATGTTTCTATCTCATGTCAGCAGGTGTGATACTGTATGTGACTGTGTGTGGTTCTGAGTCCACAATCATAAAAGCGACTGTACACAAATGCAAAAGTAAGTGAAATGCTGTTCCTGTTGACTGAGACTGGTGTGTGATTGGCAGAGTGTGCAAGCCATTGAGTTAGCCATTACAGTGTGTGTTTCAGATCTGCACAAACAAACGCACATCTCCAGACCTCCTCATTATCAGCAGCAGGAAAGCTGCCTGGGCACTGGGACAACTTGTGTGTGTATTTGTGCGTTCACTTGCATATATGTGTGTGTATGTGTGTGTGTGTGTGTGTGTGTGTCTGTGGCGTGCGCCTAATTCAGATGAGGCTCATTCCAAGATTTGGTTAACCGAGTTGGCTCATCCTATCACATTGCCACAGAGTGTGCAGTTGCTTCGGCCTCTGTTTCATTTAGTGACACCCACGCTCTTGTCCTCCTGCCATGAAAACACACAGACACTCGTGCTACTGCTGCGCTGTAACAGACATACGCACATGTGTGCACACACGCACGCGCACGCACACGCACAGCTGAATGAGAGAATGGCAAAGTTACAGAGAGAGAGAAAGAGGGAAAAAATGAGAAAGTACCAATTTAGCTCCTCAGACAGTTCTGCCAACAGACATCAGGGGGTTGGAGGCAGAGAGTGTTTTTGTGCATGGTGTGTTGTGTATTTGTGTTAGAGAATGGGGGGTTTTGGGGGGGGGGGCTTGACTAGAGCAGCGGTCTGTAACTTCGTGTTATACTGAGTCAGTTTTGTACTTTTCAGGTTTTTGAACAACTCATTACAGTGATGTGTCAGTAACCTGCTGTCAGTTATCAAGAGCTTGTAGCTTTTTTATATTTGTTTGTTTTCTGACAGTTTAGTGGAAAGAAATCGGTGTAATATTTTCCCTGTGTGCTTCTTCCCTTTTATGTAA